AGTAAGGTATCCTGGAACACGCGTGTCTTTTAGTTAGATATCCCTGGCGTGGAGGTACCGTTAAATTAGGTATCCCTGAATTAGAAATACCTTCAAGTTAGGTATCCGTGAAGGTACCTTTAAGTTATGTATCCTTGAATATGAGCATCTTTAAATTAGGTATCCATGAAAGGATGATACCTTTTATTTGGATATCCTTGAAAGGACGATATGACTTTAGGTATCCCTGAATGAGAGGGGGAGGGGTTACTTAAGTGTTTGACAACAAATTCTCCTCAGGTTCTCGTTTACAGAACGAGAACGCCTCATGCGATAGCCTTCAAACTTTCACAGTTGGGAGGGGGTAGAGATTGAGGCACCTACTAACACCTGGTCACCGAGAATAACAAAAAGGCACAATATCGTGACTGGAACATTACACAGATAACCCGCTAATGGGAGAGAGAGCTTACAACGACGTTTCTGTCCAAGTTGGACCATTTACAAAGTCACACTGCGAGTTATTTGTGTATTGTTGTGGTCACTACTACGTAGGTCATTCCTGATTTTAGACTTCCGTACGACAACTTGAGAAATCCTCTTCAGATCGACTTCAAACTTCCACCACTGGTGAGTGCTGCAGAGAAAAAAGGTTGAGAATGTCAGTGGTTGGTGGAGGCGCCAATTTGCCAATTTCTCTGAAGATATTGTGAGAACTGAAGTGTTATTTACCATGCTATAATCTGTGAATGCCTCGTCTGATAGGTTTGTAACCTTCACCGGTGATGTGTGTTGCTTAGAAGAAGGTTGAGATTGTTAAAGGAATGTGTAGGTGCCAGTTTACAAATAGCTTCATTGTTTAACAGCAGATACATCTTATACATACATATTTATATATATATATATATATATATATATATATATATATATATATATATATATATATATATATATATATATATATATATTGTTTTCATTTATATTTTTATTTGTATTGTGCTTTTTTTTTATTTTTTGGTATTTTTATTTATATTTTATTTGTGTAGTGGTTTTATTATTTGGGGTTTTCATTTATATTTTTATTTTTTAGGAACTTTTTAAGTTTCACTTCATTATTGTAAGCTGAACATATTCTTATGTACAGGAGACGTAATAAATATGCGCGTCCATAAGTATGTCCGATGTAGACAGTGTGACTGTCCCAGGTCTTGTGTCCCATAACTCCCTTTATGGGAGTTTATTGGCCTAGGACCAGTCACTCCCACCAGGACACAACTTTTGTATAGAAGACGATGCTCCATGACATACTGTCCATGACATGAAGAATGGGCTACATTATTATGGTTGTCCCATAGTTTAATGACTCGCCTGGAAACCCACTGGATTTTAATCCGAGAGAGAGAGAGAGAGAGCGTTTGGAAACTTGGTAAGCTTAAGCTTGGTGGCACGGACGTGTCCTGCAACCCTAAAATCTGGAGTGCCGTTAAGCAGGTGTGGGAGGATACTGACTCTTCTGTCTTTCATAAGTTGGCCTTAGCAGTGCCTGGGAGACTTAGGGAGTGCCTCAAGAGGTAGCATCATTCTACGAAATATTGGTTCTGTAATTTATATTTCAGATATATACTTTTAAAATCAGAGGTGAGCAGTCTCCTTGTTAGTGTTCTCTTAATGCTCGTGCATATTGGTGACGTCTGCTGTAGTGTTCGTTGCCTCCTCCAAGAGTTTTCCTTTATAGCTAGAGAACGCTTCATCAGATCAGCTTCAAATGTTCAACACTAGTGAACGTTAACAAGGGAAAGGTTCATGGAACTGTTGGGACGAGAATGTTCTCTTTTGGCAAGTTTACAATGCCATTCCCATTGCTATTAGTTTTACTACTATTGCTGTTGCTGCTGATGCTGCTGATGCTACTGTTACTGTTACTGTTACTGTTATTACTACCCTACCTTCTTCACCGCTCCCTTACCGTATTCTCTTCTGGCCTTCCCTACTTTTCTCGCCCTAGTTGTGATTTGACAATGGTCCAGGACGGAGAGAAACTTGTGAGTATTTTTCAAACTGTAAACAGAAAGTGAGTGTGCCAATATATATATATATATATAATATATATATATATATATATTATATATATATATATATATATATATATAATATATATAATAAATATAATATATATATATTGATCGTCAGAGAACTGTGGTGGAGACTTTTTTGTTAGTGTGAGAGGCAGGGAAAAGTTATCTTAAATATTGTGTATGGATATTATGATTAAAGAGAGAGGAATTATACAGTGTGAAGGCGTACGATAGCAGAAGCTTCAATGTGTTTGGTCATGTAGAGAGAATACAGAAAGAGGAACAATATATATTTTTTTTAACTCTTTGCACGAAATTTGATAAAAATGCATGATGTGGTCATCAAACTTTAAGTGATGCTGCGTCTTCCTGAGGCGAAGTTCCGCCTTGACTTTACCTTGTCTAAGTTTTAATGTGTCAGTATTATTTAACAAAACCGTTTCCACAAGGCATGAGGATGAAGAAGAGAGAAGGATTGACAGGGTGAGGAAGAGAGAAGGATTGAGAGGATGAAGAAGAGAGAAGGATTGAGAGGATGAGGAGGAGAGAAGGATTGACAGGGTGAGAAGAAGAAGATGAGAGGATGATGAAGAGAGAAGGATTGACAGGTGAGGAAGAGAGAAGGATTGACAGGGTGAGGAAGAGAGAGGATTGAGAGATAGAGGAGAGAAGGATTGACAGGGTGAGGAAGAGAGAAGGATTGACAGGGTGAGGAAGAGAGAGTAATGAGAAGAGAGAAGGATTGAGGGTGAGGAAGAGAGAAGGATTGAGAGGATGAGAAGAGAGAAGATTGACAGGTGAGGAACAGAAAGGAGGATGAGGAAGAGAGAAGGATTGAGAGGGTGAGGAAGAGAGAAGGATTGACAGGTAGGATGAGAGAGGATGAGGAAGAGAGAAGGATTGACAGGGAAAGAGAGGAGGATTGAGAGGAAGAGAGAAGGATTGAAGGTGAGGAAGAAAGAAGGATTGACAGGTGAGGAAGGTGAGGATGAGAGGAAGAGAGAAGGATTGACAGGGTAAGGAAGAGAGAAGGATTGAGAGGATGAGAAAGAAAGATTGAGATGCTGAGGAACAGACAAGGATTGACAGGGTGAGGAAGAGAGAAGGATTGAGAGGATGAGGAAGAGAGAAGGATTGAAAGGAGAAGGATTGAGAATATGAGGAAGAGAGAAGGATTGAGAGGACGAAAAAGAGAGAAGGATTGAGAGGAAGAAGAGAGAAGGATTGAGAGGATGAGGAAGAAAGAAGATTGACAGAGGTGAGAAGAGAGGAGATTGTGAGGATAAAGAAGAGAGAAGGATTGAGAGGATGAGGAAGAGAGAAGGATTGACAGGGAGAATAGAGAAGGATTGACGGGGTGAGGAAGAGAGAAGGATTGAGAGGATAAAGAAGAGAGAAGGATTAAAGGTGTTGAGGAAGAGAAAGGATTAAAGGGGGTGAGGAAGAGAGAAAATTGAAGGAAGGAAAGAGAAGGGATTGAAGGGAGGAAGAAGAAAAATTAAAGTTGAGGAAAGAGAAGATTGAGGATGAAAAAAGAGAAGGATTGAGAGGATAAAGGAAGAGAAAAAGATTGAGAGGTTGAGGAAAGAAGGATTAAAGGGGATGAGGAAGAGAGAAAGGATTGAAGATGTTGGAAGAAGAGAGAAGATGAGATGTGGGGAAAAGAGAGAAGGTTTGGAGAGTTGAGGAAAAAAAAAAGGTTGAGATGTTGAGGAAAAGAGAAAAGGATTGAGAGGATGAGGAAGAGAGAAAGTTGAGATGTTGGGGAAGAGAGAAGGATTGAAGGATGAGGAAGAGAGAGGATTGAGATGTTAGGAAGAGAGAAGGATTGAGGGGAGGGAGGAAGAGAGAAAGATTGAGTGGTGAGGAAGGAGAAGATTTGAGAGGTGAGGGGGGTTGGTGGGGGGAGAAGAGGAAGGTTGAGATGTTGAGGAAGAGAGAAGAATTGAGATGTTGAGGAAGAGAGAAGGATTGAGATGTTGGGGAAGAGAGAAGGATTGAGATGTTGAAAGGATTGAAACGAGTGAATATTTGTGTCAGACGATGTTGGAGTGTGAGCATGTGTGAGCATGTGTCTCGTCTCACTGATGTCTGACACAGCGGAAATCTGACACTCTGGTTACTCAAGGGTAATAAATGGTGATAAAATGCTTTGTAAATCTTGCCACATACCTATGTACTGTGATGTTATGACCTGGGTGTGATGTCACCTAGGTGTTTTGTATCACCTGGGTGTGATGTCATCTGGGTCGTCCTAGCACACACAAATTACATGCAGTTTTGATGTAGCGTCTGTGTTTACTGATCCTCTTGATGGTCGACCGAGGAGGCTAGTAAGAACTTACGTTATCTTCCTCTTCACACAGCTTCCTCTAGCACTGCAAATTAAACACATCATCGAAAATCTCCATCACATATACAGAACATGAAGGAACTCTGGCTTCATGGGAACGAGGAATTTCAAGCCACTACCTGCCTAAATGACCCACACAACCTCGTCCATTCAGAAAAACAATATATAATATAGATTTACAACTGACAAGCAGCGTATTATACCTAAGATGAGTTTGTATTATATGAAACAGTCTCAGACCTGAGCAGGAGGAGGATCTTTGGTTGCTTTCTGAAAAATGTTTCTATATCCGACCGTGATGGGTTGGTCCACCTTCTTTTTTGTTCACTAAAGATATTATTGTTGGTGTACGTGTGTGTATTTCATATTTAACGATTTTTTTATAACTCATACACAAATATTGCTTTAGATATAAACTAAAAATGAGTTTCTTCTCTCTCTCTCTCTCTCTCTCTCTCTCTCTCTCTCTCTCTCTCTCTCTCTCTCTCTCTCTCTCTCTCTTCCCCCTCCTCCCTCTCTGTTCCCTCTCTCTTTGTTCCCCCTGCTTCTGTCTGTGCCCCTCCTTCCTCCTCCTTCTTGTCCTCCCTCACTAGTTCGACCAACATCAGTAAGCATCAGTGAGCCGGCGTCACCGCTGGTCGAGGGTCAAGAGGCAAGGCTAGAGTGTGTGGCACTGGGTGCCTACCCTGCCGCTGACCTATCCTGGAGCCTCACCCCTACCCACGCAACCAGCCCCATCACCCTACCCTCTGCGGTGAGTGAGGACGTGGGAAGGAGGGAGAAATTTGAGAATAATCTTAATGTTTTACATGAAATAAAAAAATAATCGAGATTACTCAATATCATCACGTCTTTCAAGCTTCTCTTCATTTTTCTTCCAACTTTTCTCTTTGTTTTACTTGTGTGTGTTTGTGTCTGTGTTCAGTCGCGGCATCTAGGTCAGAAGACGTCATCCCTGGCACGGGTGACCCCCACTGCTGACGACCACCTGGCGACCCTCACCTGCTCAGCACACAACCCTAACATTACTGGACGACCCATCACTACCTCCATTCTCCTCCATGTTGTCTGTGAGTACTGAATCTGTTAGTTACACTCCATCACCACCTCCATCCTCCTCCACGTCTATGAGTCCTGAGACTCTTAAGTTATTACATACACCATCACCACTTATTATCAAACAGTTACCACTGAAACAGTTCTTGGACACGAGCTACAGAAGTGGGTCCCGTCCACCTCTCATCTAACATCAACTGTTGCACCTCTTAGTACATAAGGGTCTGTCTTCCTGCCTGTACTTCAGAATTATTAAAATTAAGATACTCAACACTTGCTTCCAGGATGATGGACTGTGTGTGCTTCTTCCACTGCCTTCTATGCATAGTTCCACAAGATTGAGGGACTGATTATCTCATTTTACATTGTCTGTGTATGGTTCTAAAAGACTGAGGGAACTGTTTACCTCATCTTCCACTTTATCTTTGTGTATGGTTAGATTAAGTAAGAATAGTCAGGAAACAGGACAAGTGTTTCCTGACGCGGGTCTTAGCCATATGATGACCCGCCACTGGAGCTTTTGGTCATCTGACCGAGACCTTCCGCTGACTTACCTGTCCACCCCTTTAAAAATTAAGGCTATTATTGTAACCAGTTTTTGTGAAAGCTTATGAAAGTCTGGGGGACTGATTACCTTATCTTCCTCTGTCTTTGTATATCATCTCTTCACTGAACTAACAAAAAAGCCACTGGTGGGCGAAACATCTTCAGTTAATGATACACAGGTGTTGCACATGTCTGATTCATCATATGGTCGGTGTTGCATATCATTATCGTAATGTTTATATTAAATATGAAACAAGAAAAATTAATTCTACTACAACTTTTCACAAGAATCATTGTTTCAAGTACCTAAATATTAGTCCAAAAGTTTATAAAAAATTTCCCTAAAAGTTGTACCTTGTAGAATTTATAATAATTTGTAAGTTAATCTAAATGAATATAAATGTAAATTGTTTGAGATATTGTAAATTGTTTATATGTGCCTCTATAACCTTCTGACATTGATGTGTTATGGCTTAGTGACCCTATACTTGTCTCTCCTTCTCGGTGACCTCGTCTTCGCTCCCCACGGTGACCTGGTGTGACCTCGTGTGTGGCGGGTGAGGTCAGTCGCTCCGCGGGTGAGGCTGCAGCTGGGTGCCACTCTCGGGTCAGCGCCCATCACCGAAGGCAAGGATGTTTACTTCGAATGTGAGGTGGTGGCCAACCCTCCTGTGAGAGAGATTGTCTGGAGGAAGGATGTGAGTATCAGGGAAGGGAGGGATAGAGGGAGGGAGAGACGTAGGGATGGAGGGAGGCAGAGACGTAGGGATGGAGGGAGATGGATGGAAGAAGGTAGAGAGAGAGAGAGAGAGAGAGATAAGAGGGCTGCTATTACTACTAAGTACAAGGCTTGGAGAAGGTATAAGAGGCATCTCAATATCTATAACAAGAACCTGCCCAGACAAGTTTTTCAGCGAATGAATGAAGTTCAAAAGTGGGCAGTCTCTGTATGGGAAACTGACACAAAATTGGCATCAAGAAGAGTGGGCTCCAAAACCTGGTGGTCCTTGGTCAGGGGCCGACAAGGATATTCACCTGATGAAATTATTCTACCTCACAATCGACAGGACGGCGCTGTCTGTACTAGGAGTCAAGAAAGCTGACTTGTTTTCTGAACATTTTGCTACCCAGACACAAGTTCCTGATCCGGTTAGGGAACCTCCTGTGCTAGCTGTAAGAGGAGATGTGTCAAAGTTGTCAGAGATGACAAGACAGGCTGGTGTATCGTAAACCCCTAGACCAAAGACAGGCTGTGGACCCTGAGAAAGTGAGCCCAAGGTTGCTAGTAGATGTGCAGACCACTAGCATCACCTCTAACTCACATCTGTCAACTCTATTTAACACAGTAAATGACTTTTTTTGTACATGAATGGTATATAATATCATTACTTCATCTTTTATATATTACCTCATTTTTTTAAATACAATCCTAGTGTCTTCCAATTAATTTTTTAGTTTGTGAAAATAAGCAAATGTAATCCCTGATTATAAAAAGAAGAGCAGAATGGCATTCAGCAACTACAGACTGATGTCACTCCTCTCACTCACTGGCAAAGTACCTGAGACAATAATCTCACGGCAAGTGAAAACATTTTTGACTATCACACGCTTCTTTATGACCGTCGGTATGGCCATTCTGCAGCAGATCTCATGTTTAACCTCTCCACTATATATCACCAGTCACTGGATGAAGCCAAGATCACTTTGTAGTGCACTGGACATCCACCGAGTGTGGCATAAGGGACTCTTGGCGAACTACAAGCACTAGGAGTCTGGCTCTGACTACAAGATATATCTCTTAAGAGTAGTTCTCGATGAAAGAGTCTACAAGCCACTCAGAAGGTGCCAATGTCTACTTCAGTGACCTTCTTTACCTTATCCAGGAATTTCAAGCATATACAGATAACTGTACACTTTATTTATGGAAGAGAGGAAATCCCGACTGCTCTCAGGTACATCAATCACCCGCTTACAGTTATATTAACCTGAGTAAAACTATGACCAGTTATATTTGCATCTGATAAAATACAAATGATGGTCTCTTGGTAGCATCATACTGAATGGTACAGCAGTAGTAAGAATGATTCGAAAATGTAACATGCCGGGATGAGATGGATATCCTAGGGGTGAAATATGACCCCAAAATATCCATGAAAAATGACGTGGTAAAGCCTGTAAGGCTGTCAAGAAGCTAGCAGCACTAAGGCGTATCTCGTACCTGCTTCACAGCAGTGTGTGCAAATTTTGTTCGAGACACAAGTTCGTTCTAAACTTGAGTATGCACCACTTTCTTGGAATGCCTCCCCTTCCCAGCCTCGTTTACGACTTTTGGAAGGCGACTCATCTCTCGCCTGGTTCCGGCTGGATGGATCGGTTACTCCAACAGAACCTTCAACACCATAGAGATCTGAGTGACTTGGCTCGACTTAGCGGACAGTGAAAAAACATCTACTATACCACAAGACGGGAAGCAAACAACAACTACACTCCAGCTGTACCATTCCCAAGAACATCGCTCCATCTGAGATTCATTCCTAGAAGAACTTGAGTGTGGAACATACGTATAACATAACATTAGTGAAGTCAAGTCAATTGACCAAATGAAATCTCTGGCCCACAGATGGCTCCAGCTGTGGCCCACAGATGGCTCCAGCTGTGGCCAATAGATGGCTCGAGCTGTGGCCCACAGATGGCTCCAGCTGTGACCCACAGATGGCTCCAGCTGTGGCCCACAAATGGCTCCAGCTGTGGCCCACAGATGGCTCCAACTGTGGCCCACAGATGGCTCCAGCTGTGGCCCACAGATGGCTCCAGCTGTGGCCCACAGATGGCTCCAGCTTCATCCTCTTCCCTACTTGCATGTTTCAGAATAAAAAAAATAAATATTTCTGTGTTGTATATAAATGTGTTAATAAGTCACTTATCATTGAAGGGAAGATTTAAATTGCCTATTTAAGGCACAAATTTGTAAAAAAAAAAATTTTACTTAAATATGCCTCTTAGTTGTGGATCATTGCACTTTCAATCATCCGGAAGTTATATATGCTGGTTATTGTAAGAAGTTATAAATGCTGGTTACTCTAAGAAGTTATTTATGCTGGTTACTGTAAGTTGTCATGTAGCTGGTTAACTTAAGGAAGTTATCTATGCTGGTTACTGTAAGAAGTTATGATGTGATTACTCTACAGAACTTTATTATTTATTGCTGTTACTCGTAAAAGTTATATACGCTGGTTACTGTAAGAATAATATTATGCAGGTTACTCCAAGAAAGTTATTCATGCTGGTTACTGTAAGAAGTTATAAGTGTGGTAACATGTATAGAAGTTAATTAGTGAAGTTATCATTAAGAAGTAATTTAAGTGGTACTGTAAGAAATTATAGATGGGTTACTGTAAGAAGTTATTTGGCTGGTTACCCGATGGTAGTTGTAAATGCTGGTTCACTGTAAGCAAGTGTCAGATTGCTGGTTACTGTGCAAGACAGTTTATTGCTGGTTATTGTAAGAAGTAATAAATATGTCTGGTTACTGTAAAGTTGTTATATGCTAGGTTATCATTGAAGAGATTAATATTGCCTTGGTATTCTGTAAGTTGTTATAATATGCTGGTTATTGTAAGAAGTCATTAGCGCGGTTTACTGCAAGAAGTTATATAGCTGGTTACTGTAAGAAGTTATAATTGTACGCTAGGTTTTACTGGTTAGAAGTTATATACGCTGGTTACTGTAAGAAGTTATATACGCTGGTTACTGTAAGAAGTTATTATAGCTGGTTGCTGTAAGAAGTTATATATGCTGGTTACTGTAAGACGTTATATAGCTGGTTACTGTAAGAAGTTATATGTGCTGTTACTTAAGAAGTTATTTATGTGCTGGTTACTGTAAGAAGTTATATGTGCTGGTTACTGTAAGAAGTTATATATGTGGTTACTCTAAGAAGTTATATTAGCTGGTTACTGTAAGAAAAGTTATATATGCTGGTTACTGTAAGAAGTTATATGTGCTGGTTACTGTAAGAAGTTATATATGCTGGTTACTGTAAGAAGTTAATATGTGTGGTTACTGTAGAAGTTATATATGCTGGTTACTCTAAGAAGTTATATGTGCTGGTTACTGTAAGAAGTTATATATGCTGGTTACTGTAAGAAGTTATATATGCTGGTTACTGTAAGAATGTATATTATGCTGGTTACTGTAAGAAGTTATTTACGCTGGTTACTGTAAGAAGTTATAAGTGCTGGTTACTGTAAGAAGTTATATATGCTGGTTACTCTAAGAAGTTATTTAGCTGTTACTGTAAAGAAATATACTGCTGGTTACTGTAAGAAGTATATATGCTGGTTACTGTAAGTTGTTATATATGCTGGTTACTGTAAGAAGTTATATATGCTGGTTACTGTAAGAAGTTATATATGCTGGTTATTGTAAGAAGTTATATATGCTGGTTACTGTAAGTTGTTATATATGCTGGTTACTGTAAGAAGTTATATATGCTGGTTTACTTAGAAGTTGTTATATATGCTGGTTACTGTAAGAAGTTATATATGCTGGTTGTTGTACGAAGTTATATATGCTGGTTACTGTAAGAAGTTATATATGCTGGTTACTGTAAGAAGTTATATATGCTGGTTACTGTAAGAAGTTATATATGCTGGTTACTGTAAGAAGTTATATATGCTGGTTACTGTAAGAAGTTATATTGCTGGTTACTGTAAGAAGTTATATATGCTGGTTACTGTAAGAAGTTATATATGCTGGTTACTGTAAGAAGTTATATATGCTGGTTACTGTAAGAAGTTATATATGCTGGTTACTGTAAGAAGTTATATATGCTGGTTCTGTAAGAAGTTATATATACTGGTTACTGTAAGAAGTTATATATGCTGGTTGCTGTAAGAAGTTATATATGCTGGTTACTGTAAGTTGTTATATATGCTGGTTACTGTAAGAAGTTATATATGCTGGTTGCTGTAAGAAGTTATATATGCTGATTACTGTAAGAAGTTATATATGCTGGTTACTGTAAGAAGTTATATATGCTGGTTACTGTAAGAAGTTTATATATGCTGGTTACTGTAAGTGTTATATATGCTGGTTACTGTAAGAAGTTATATATGCTGGTTTATCTGTAAGAAAGTTATATATGCTGGTTACTGTAAGAAGTTATATATGCTGGTTACTGTAAGAAGTTATATATGCTGGTTACTGTAAGAAGTATATATGCTGGTTACTGTAAGAAGTTATATATGCTGGTTACTGTAAGAAGTTATATATGCTGGTTACTGTAAGAAGTTATATATGCTGGTTACTGTAAGAAGTTATATATGCTGGTTACTGTAAGAAGTTATATATGCTGGTTACTGTAAGAAGTTATATATGCTGGTTACTGTAAGAAGTTATATATGCTGGTTACTGTAAGAAGTTATATATGCTGGTTACTGTAAGAAGTTATATATGTGGTTCTGTAAGAAGTTATATATGCTGGTTACTGTAAGGTTTATATGTGGTATGTAGAAGTTTATATGCTGGTTCTGTAGAAGTTATATATGCTGATACTGTAAGAAGTTATATATTGCTGTTACTGTAAGAAGTTATATATGCTGGTTACTGTAAGAAGTTATATATGCTGGTTAGCTGTATAGAAGTTTATATGCTGGTTACTTATAGAAGTTTATATGCTGGTTACTGTAAGAAGTTA